GAGAGAGAGAGAGAGAGAGAGAGAGAGAGAGAGAGAGAGAGAGAGAGAGAGAGAGAGAGAGAGAGAGAGAGAGAGAGAGAGAGACTTTGTGTTTCTGTCCCTGACCTCTTCTCTTTTCTCTCTTGTAAGGCTGGGATCCGGGTGCCAGTATGCCCTGTCGGGGTGCTGGGCTGGGTCTGGGTGGGTGGTCCCTGGCAGGGCAGACCATGAGGTTACCTGCGCTGGGCTCCAAATCAGGACCTATTAATTTTCCCGGCGTCAGCCCTTACTTCGGGTTGGCCTGCTTTTCGACGGGTGGCCACCCAGTGCACCGGCCGAGGCCTGGGAGCTCACGTTCCAACCCCCTTATGTCCGAGAGTTCTCTGAGACCCCTTATGCTTGCCAGTTCTTCTGCCTCTTCTTCAGTGCCCTCACATATTCTGAAACCACTTGGCGAGCAGACTTAATCAATTCTAAAGCATATGAGGCGCACAGAATCAATTCTTCTCTTGTAAACCATTTGGATGGACATAATGTCTGAAGTCAACATGGAACTGCAACTGAGTCTCTGGTGGTCTTCCTGTACCCGGTGGCTTGGGCACAGGTAACAACCTACTTTCCACAATTTGGCCGAGATATCAGCTCAACCGCCCATTGTTGGCGGCAGTACAGATCGCCGACAAGGGATGTGAGGGCTTTTTGGAAAAGGCTTTGGCGGCAGCACAAATTGCTGACAAGGGATACACCCGCTTTTTTAAAAAGGCTTGGATGCATGAAAAGCTATGCGCGAAAAGCTGGGTAAGTGCCACGGCGGGGAGATACATCAATTACATAGGTCGCACCATCAGGAGTTTCTCCTACAATGACTGGGACTGTAATGACCTGTTATCTATCTTAAATCAAGGCTGAATACCCGGACCCACCGGGCCTCCTACCCCCACTGAAACCGGGCCGGTAGTAAGGTTCCCTCCCGGTTCCCCTTTGCGCATTTTGATCGCATGGGGGTTTCAATTTTTTTGGGGGGCCGGGAGGCCTCCATGTGGGTTGTGGAGGCCTCCCGGTCCCCAAAAAAAATTAACAGAGTTCGGTAGGCCCGCCAGAATATTGAAAAACTGGCGGTCTATCTGGGCCGTCGATCTGATGAGATCTGCGGCCCCGATAGGCCGCCCGTTTTTTAACATTCGGGCGGGAAAACTCCCGAAAGCCATCCTAACGTTCCCCACCCACCGGCCCCACCACCCCGCCTCCCGCCTCCCGCCTCCCGCTGCTTTCGAGCAGCACAACCCGTCACTTAGTCCGCGAGTGAACGAGGCAGGTGCTTTGGAGACTGCGTCGCCCCCCTCACGTCCACCCCAGCCTTGCAAACGCCATTGCCCCGCCCCGCCCGGCTCCGCCCAGCCCCGCCGTCCATCGGTAAGAGTAGGTGGTCTTCTTCTTGTTCCTCTGTTTCTTCTATTCTTACTATCTTCTTCTTCTTCTTCTTCTTCCTCTGGCAGAGCCCAAGTTTGCGGAGGGTAGTGGGCGCGCGAAAGTAAGTTGATGCGCGGGAGTAAGTGTGCACACGAAAACCTATCGGGGCGCGGAAATCAGAGAGAGAGAGAGAGAGAGAGAGAGAGGTGATTTCTTCATGGCTTTGATCAGTATTACTCTTCTTCCAATTCCCGTCTGTCTATTACTCTTACGCACGCTCTTTTATACATGCAAATACAAGAGGTCATTTCCCGATGATTTTGCCTTTCTTTTTCTACTCTCTTTGATTCATCTGTTTGATAAACTTATGCACGCTACCTCAGACACGCACACCCTCTCTCTCTCTCTCTCTCTCTCTCTCTCTCTCTCTCACACACACACACACACACACACACACACACACACACACACACACACACGCACACACACACACA